TTCTATACGTACTGTCCCTTGAGAAAAAAAAAGTTGTATGTTCAATTTATCCCTTTTAAACTTTAATCAAGCATATTGTATAAGATAGCAACCATGTTATAAATTCCAAAAAGTTCATATGGTGTTACTGAAGCAGAAACACAAGAGCTACAAAAAAGCAAAAGAGGCCATATTCCAAAACATTTCACTTCCGACTTCCAAATGTACTTGGTAGAAGGCACAAGGGATGAGGAAGGTCTTCAATACTCTTATTGTTATAGTATTAAGGATGATCCAAAGACATTTCAAGAGGGAATGCATTCTCGAGATGTAATATTTTGGAAGGAAGCAATTGATGATGAAATGTCATCAATTCTTGAAAATAACACTTAGGTGTTGACTGATATGCCTCAAGGTTCTAAACCACTTGGTTGCAAATGGATTTTCAAAAATAAGACGAATGTTAATGGGAATATTGACAAGTTCAAAGCCCGTTTAGTCATTCAAGGTTTTAGACAAAAACCCGGTGTTGACTATTTTGATATGTATGCTCTGGTTGCACATATTTCTACTATTAGATTTTTGATTACCTTGGCAAGTATCCACAATATTTTTATTCATCAAATGGATGTGAAAATAGCCTTTTTGAATGGTGAACTTGACGAGGATGTTTACATGAAACAACCCAAAGGTTTCATTATGTCCGGTAAAGAGCATATGGTTTGTAAACTTGTCAAATCTTTGTATGGGCCGAAACAATCGCCTAAACAATGGAATCAAAAGTTTGATGAGGTTATTTTGTCCTCTGGTTTCAAGATTAACCAATGTAAAAAATGTGTTTATAGTAGATTAGATGATTCTACTAGGGCTAGGGTGATCATTTGCTTATATATAGATCACATGCTGATTTTCGGTACCGACCAAAATCAAGTAGATGAAACAAAGAAATTGTTATCATCTAAGTTTTCCATGAAAGATTTGGTAGAGGCTGATATAATTCTTGGAATAATAATTAAAAGGATGAACAAAGGCTTGGTAATGACTCAAAGTCATTATATTGAGAAAATTCTCAAGCGGTTTAATTTTACTGATTGTTTTCCTGTGAGCACTCTTATTAATCCAAGTGTGAAATTGATGGACAACACATGAACTCCTATTTCACAATTGGAATACTTTAAGGCCATTGGTAGTTTTATGTATGTAATGAAAAGTACCAGGCCTGCTATTGATTTTGTTAAAATCCTAATGCTCAACGTTGGCAATCAGTGAATAGCATGTTTAAGTATCTCAAGGGAACCATGGATTATGGATCGAGTTACTTGGGATATCCTTCGGTTAGAAGAACATTCGGATGCAAGTTGAATAACCAACCTGGAGGATCATTCCTCAACGACTGGTTGAGTATTCTTGATTGGGGGAGGTGCCATTTCCTATGATTTCAAGAAGAAAACCAACATTAGAAACTCAACAATGGAATTTGAGTTTGTTGCGTTACATTCTATTGGTAAAGAAGCTAAATGGTTAAGGAACTTAGTCTATGACATTCCTTTGTGGTCTAAACCGATAGCACCTATTTATATCGTTGTGATAACACTGCTGCTTTGGGTAAGGCCTATACTTAAGTGTGTAATGACAAATGTCGACACAATATGGTTAGAGATCTAATCGTGAATGGTGTAATTTTGATTGAGTTTGTGAAACCGCAACATAATTTGGCAGATCATTTGACTAAGGGTTTGTTAAGAGACTTAGTGCACAAGTCTGTGATTGGGATGTGATTAAAGTCTATCTAAATTTTGTCATGGTGAGACACCCAATTCCCTTCTAATATGAGATTAGGAGTTGAATTCAATGTGGAAAGCTCACATTTATAAATTGGAACACATGAAGTATTTATCCCAGGTAATGTGTTCAGTTTTGCAGTTGACCAAGTTAAAGTTTAACTTCTTAATAATTCCTTTGATTAAATGTATGTGCAGATACACGGAAAGGAGTTACCTACATGATTGTGAAATGTAGCCGTATTTCAAGAGGTTGTCAACTTGGCCTTAATATGATCAAGAGAGGATTAAGACATGCGGCTTAATAATAGTGTCAAGTTGTATTTTCCTAGAAATTTCAATAAAGTAGTATTTATTTTACTTTCTTGTATTCAAATGAGTTGATGTGTTCAATTCTTAGAACACCCTTATTCTCGAGTATTTGTAAGAGTATGATACTAAGTGGAAATTCAATCATTACGACATTTTCATTATGTACTGGTTTGGTTTTGTTTTGATAATGTTATGTTTGTTCAAGGGTTACACTAAAAGGGGGGGGGGGGGGGACTGTTGGTGATTTTAGTGTCACCAGGATATTTTGTGTAATTGAAACTTACATGTGAGCTAAGGGGCTCCATAATGTGTATTCTAATATATGTTTGGGTATGTGCGGAGTGAACGCTTGTACAAAATATCCTGATCGAATTTGACGACATGTCTGGGGTCCGGGAGCAACGCCCCTGGGTCCGGGGTTTCCAAAGGGGCAGAGCCCCTGGCTGGGGTCCAGCTGCCAGGTCAACGGGTGAGGTCGAGGAGTAGCATCCTAAAAACTCTTCAGATTGTACTAGTGGGTACATAGTGGAAAAATCGAATTCTTGAGGGAGATTATGGTAAAACTGACTAAAATCGTTAGTTTTGGAAACAATTGGTTTCCTCATTAATTTTGGATTCCCTTAACTTGTTTCCAAGGAAAACCATGACGGCCAACCCTAGTTCGAAACCTTACATCTCGTTTTCTATATAAACGACTCTCCACTTGAGGAGAAACGATCACTCTTTTAGCTCTCGTTTCTTCATACGAACTCATAATCTTCTAGGAAGTTGGCTTACCTTTTCTATGCCAAGATTCGTAAGTGTCCCCTTGGGAATATCCTAGGCTGAGTTTCTTGTAACCCGGGCATAGGGTAGAAATATCAGTTTGGAAAGTGTTTACACTATCCAGATCTCCACCATAAACCCTACCCAATATCTAACAACTGGCGTTAAAGATGTAGGTGAGTTGAGAAAGATAACCAAAAAAGATAACCAAACTTTATCTACCCCTCTTGCCCCTCCAATTTACCCAATCTCAAAAACGGTAGTCTCTAATCCCTAGTGTTTCCATGAAAATGCCATTTCACCATAATTCTTGGTAGACATACCAACTTCAAAGTATATATGAAATCACAAGAATGTCTTTCTTGAGCCGATGTCAAATTAAAGAAAAAGACATTTACTGTTTAGAATTATACAATTTAAAAGTCACAAGAATTCTTGGTAGGCATGTCACTTTGTATTGTTAAAGCCTAAAAATGCAAAAACAATATATTGACAAAGACACACAACACACAACTCAAAGAAATTGAAATCATCCAAGAAACGAAAGGCATTCATGAAACAGAAAGCGACCAACACACAAGAAAGAAATCAATTAATCCAAACATTAAATCCTTGAGAAATAGAAATCACCCAAGAAAAAAAAAAGTTCTTCAAGAAACAGAGGTGTAACAGGAAGTCATACAAAGAAAAATTGAACCACAAAGAATAAAAAATCAAGAATAACTGGTGAAACATTTACCTTATTCGGTTCGAAAAATTAACTCATAGTTGTGTAGCATAGCAGGAAGTATTGGAATCGAGGTTTTGCAACCAGGATAATGAAATTGAGAACCAGTTGTGAACGAAGCCGTATGAAACTCGATTTCTCTGGGTCGATGAATAAAATCACGGGCAAAAATCAGGAAGCACATCCCGTAGGGATCAAAGTGACAAACTGAATTTGAAAGTTCCAATTCTCTGAATTTTTTTGTTTGTTAATCAGTGGACTTGAAAAGGCTTTTTCTTCCCTGTTCCTTAGAATAAAAGGGGGAATGGATAGCCTGGAAATGGAATTAATATATTTCTCATTCTCTCATGTTTGAGCACTAACCAAACAAGAGAAGGAGAATCAATTCCTTTTCTTAGATTCCGGGCGTCACGCCATTGTTCTACAATGATAAAGACTCTCCATCTCAGCTTTCTCCACCTCCACCTCACTTTACCACCATGTTTGCCACATACCATTAGAGATGTACTGAAAAGAAGGGTGAGAGAGAGAGAGAGAGAGAGAGGAGGAAGTGTGACTAAGTCTTGCTGAGCTCGGCTTGAACCACACACCGGGCGCGGTGTGTACCGTAGATTAGATGGTAAACCGGTGGGTATGTACCGCAGCCACACCCACCGGTCTAATTCTCTCTACCAAACATGGCCTTACAGTAGACCTGTGGTCAAAACAACTCAATAAATTGAACTTTTTTAACTTTACATTTTAAGTTCCTATACATAGGATTATGTACTAAAATGGAAAACCTTAATAGGGTCAGATTTTGGGTGATTTTTTTTTTTTTTTTTGAAAAAACCTGTCTAACCGGAACCCGATCGGGTTGACCCGATTAATAGTCCTACTAGCAAGGCATGTTTCAAGCACTCTATTTTGAGGTGCTTAATTCGCAAAAGATCACCGGTAGGAATTTAGACAGAAAATCATGAACTTCTAAAAGGTACCTAGACATTTGATCGAAAATCATGAATTTCTTGGTACGTATAGATTTGATCAAGTTATAGGCCAAAGACTCATATATTCAATATAGTCTTGACAGTGATAAAAATATAGCTTTCCATTGTTGGAAGTTCAATATATTACAAAAATCAAACATATATCTTCGATAACCATTAGAATTGGTTTTCGATACATGATTCATTGCACAAAGATTTTGATCAAATTTCAGTTTGAACGGAATACCTTAATATTTGGTTCGCATAATGTTTTTCGATTAAGATTCAATGGAGTTTGTTGAAAGATACAAATTTTGATGTAATGCTTTTGACAAAATGTAGACAAGTGGTAATCCACATGCAACAAAAAGACGTAAGCAATAATAACATAAAATATATACAAGTCTTCACACAAGCAACAACTAAAAAAAAAAAAGACGTTCACATCAGAAATTTGAAGACAAACCCTCAGTTTTGTGTTGAGTCATGCTTAAAATCTTTGATCCGCTCCATACACTGTTTTCCTAAAATCCCACCAAGATTAAGGTTATGACACTTACCAACGTCCAGGGATTGAAGATGAAGGCAGCCATTAAGAATGGCCTCGAGTCCATTGTTTGTGATTTCACTTTCAGAGAGATCCAAACAGCGTAATTCATGCATGTTATTTGCGATGGCAAGGGCATCGTCATCATCACATTTGATGAATGGCCATATAAGCCTTTTGTCCATCGTGAAGTACTTGAGTTGAGGGCAATTCTGTCCAATAGCTTCGATGTCTTCTACATTTATTGGGATGAAATAAATGCCAAGTTCCACCAATTGTGGCAGCCTTTTGACTGCGCTACTCAACTCACTGCCCGTGATATCTTTGCAGCTCACAAGGCCAAGAGCCCAAGACGTTTCAGCTTATTTGAGCTGTTCACAAGTCGCCATTCGAGCCACACAAAAGCAAAAGATATTCAGTAAGTTAAAACTACTAGCCAACAAATATAAACAACATTAATATTAACTCATTACAAGTTAACAACTAATATTTCATTGACATGAGAACTAATAAGTCTTCAAGCAAATAAGTACTAAAAAACCAGAACTATAAGGACTGTATTCTCTCAATCTTCACTGTTACTAAAGTATGATAACGTGAAACAACACAATATCGGTGGTTAATGTAAAGAGAAACTGAATAACGATGGGAAGGAGATAAAACCTACCGTAGCACGATGTAATCAAGTAGATCATCGTTGCCAAAGGAAACGAGACAGATATCAATCAATTCCCCACAGCTGAGATCGACTGCCTGCTTAGTCAACCTCTCGAAATCGTAAATCTTATCACGACCATCAAGTGATTTTTTCACAAAAATAACCTTCCACATGGCCGGATCCTTGCAAATTTCCCGCCAAGTTGTGCATACTTTCACTGCGCTCGTGAATATTTCCACCGTACCCAATCTTTGAAGTATATTTGCCATCAGATCGTTAGGCGTTTCCAGCCAATTTGGAGATTCCTTCATTTCCGACGATGGCTCTGTGGAGGACGTTGACGCGGTTTTAACTATGTAATACGACTATGACCAGTTCGTCATGATCTTTCAGTTAAGCGACTTTCGGTTTTTGAAAACACGAAAACCCTCTTTGACGAGAAGAGTGAATTACAGAACTTCCCCCTATACTTTTGCGCGTTCTACAGGTACTTTCCCTTGAGAAAAAAAAAGTTGTATGTTAAGTTTATCCATTTTATACTTTAATCAAGCATATTGTATAAGATAGCAACCATGTAATTAAAAAGTAGCAAAATGTTTCTACTTTTACGAGAAATAGCAACCTACTGTTTGTTGGCTGTGCACTGTTGGTTAGTTGGTTTATTATATATAAAATCATCTCCACGAAGAAGTTCTTTTTATTTATTTATTTATTTTTTTCTTGTAAACATTTTTCTTTTTTGTAATTTTTAAATGCTTGTTGTTATTGATTAATGCTTCCACAATGATATAGTCAACCATAATTAATTATTGAAAACTGTATTGATTAATGCTTCCACAATGATAAAGTCAACCATAATTAATTATTGAAAACTGACGAGCAAGTAAAATAACAATGATAATATCTATAATTATAAATCATCAAGGCCAAAGTTCATTAAAAGGTGGCAAGTACATTGATATATTTAGAAAGGCATTTTTGAGTGAAAATCAAATACAGTATACTTTTTATCAATTAATCTTAAAAATTTAGCACTATTATTAGTATTAGCGTTATTATTATTTATTAATTATACTCAATGCCCACACACTAAAGTATCCAGAGAACCCAATTTTTATATGATAACGATGACCTTTTCATCTCCAACATACGGTCTTGAAAAAGTAGGAAAAAATCCATATATATATACCTTTTATTAAATTTTAAAATATTATATTTCCTCAATCTAATATTTTAATATTATATTTATTTTCATAAACTTTCAAAAATATCAAATTTGCCCCGATCTTTATTTTAATATTTTTAAATATTTTATAACTGTTTTAAATTTTTATTTTTAATTAATGTACCATGCATTATACCCTTCTTATTTTTATTAACGCACCATATACAAATGAATTAGATCTGGCCTTCACATGAAACTAGTTATAGAAGCAAAATTTACCTAACAAACAATTGCTTTATCTTTCATTTATGAATTTGAAATCGTCGCTTCTTCCATCTGTGTTTGTTTATTGGTGTATACAGACCCATAATTTTGAACTAACGCTTGATATATAAAAGTCAAGCATGAGTATTACTACCAATGAAAAAAAAGATAAAATAAGAGAATGTGACAGATGCTTTAGGGTTCCATGAGATATAGAATTATTGAATTGCTACTTTTACGGAAGAGAAAAATCCACACCTTGTAGAAATATTGGTTTATCTTAAGTTGATAAACACGTCTATACTGTATATAACTAGAATTACTAAACTTATAAACCAATAAACTACCATCGTTTGTTTGTGGTAATCAATGAGACCAACTTAATAGATATATGGAATCACTTGTGTTTATGATGAGAATGAAGGTTAGAGGTAGACCGCTCTTTTCTATAATCCACTTTGAATAACTAATTTTTTCATGGTAGGCAATGCTATTACTTTAACTTTCATTTTTAAGGTAAAGATTCTTGTTGCCTCCAACGTTTACAATATAGGAATACATATACACAAAATACATGGGCCATGGGCCTAATACAATACATGAGAACATGGGCTATAAAAACTAATATACATGAATTCACTAAGATCCCCTCGCAGTTTTATCGGGAGGACAGATCCGAACGTTCAAACTGGACTTGAAGTCAATAAAAACCTGTGTCGGAAGTCCTTTGGTGAAGATATCTGCATACCAGGCGGAAGAACGAACATGAAAAACACGAACTAATCCGCGAGCAAACTGATCACACACAAAATGAATGTCAGTCTCTATGTATTTCGTACGTTGATGCTGAACTGGGTTCGATGACATGTAGACTGGGCTAATATTGTTACAATAGACAATGGAGGCTTTTGCCGGGGGGCACCGCAGCTCACGAAGAAGATTTCGAACCCAACATGTCTCGACAACAACATTGGCCACACCACGATACTCGGCCTCCTCACTGGAACGAGAAATAACCTATTTTCGCCAAAAGTGGAACGGCGAGACAACGGGAACCCACCCCAATAGGCATCAGAATCTGCAACCAGGTCCGAAGAGGGGGAGGCATGAAGTTGGAGACTGTGATCCAATGTCCCTCTAATATAGCGAAGAATGTTCTTAAGAGCGTGAAGGTGAGCCTCTCTAGGATCATGCATGAAGTGACAAATTTGTTCAACCGCGAATGCAATATCTGGTTGAGTGAATGTGAGGTACTGAAGAACGCCAGCAAGACTGCGACGGAGGGATGGATCCGAAACGTGCGAGCCGGTGGCATCCAGCTTATGGTTGGTCTCAGCTGGGGTACAAGCTGGATTACATTGGAGCATGTGTGCCCGTTGAAGTATCTCTGATGCATATTTCTTCTGGGAGAGGAAGAGACCCTGTGGGGTCCAGGTGGCAGAGATACTCAGAAAGTAGTTAAGAGCCCCTAGATCAGACATGGCGAACTCTCGACTAATCTAAGAGATAATCGATTGTAAAAGAGTCGATGAGGAGGCGGTGAGCACGATGTCATTGACGTACAGGAGTAGAGAGGCAGTATCTGTGCCATGGTGATAGGTGAAGAGGGACGAATCTGTCATATTGTGCTAAAAACCCATATGAAAAACATGTTGAGAAAATCGTTGGTACCAGGCTCGAGGGGCTGTTTAAGACCATATAGTGACCTCTGAAGGTGAAAAACATGATTTGGATATCGAGGGTCTCCGAAGCCAGGTGGTTGATGCATGTAAACCGTCTCCTGAAAATGATCGTGAAGAAAAGCATTCTTTACATCTAACTAATGAATAGGCCAGTGTCTCGAGACAGCTAAGCTGAGAACATTGTGTATAGTGGCCGGTTTAACAACCCGGCTAAAAGTCTAATCACATTCGATGCCAGGTTGCTGACTGTGACCATTAGCCACTAGGCGCGCTTTGTAGCACGAAAGAGATCCGTCGGCATTAAACTTCTTCTTAAATAACCACATGGAACGGATTATATTTGCCCTCGAAGGACGAGGCACCAAAACCCAAGTACCGTTTGAAATAAGTGCATTATATTCCTCATTCATGGCTTTCTGCCAGTTTGCATCTTGATGGGTTTTGTACATAACAAACAATCCTATGTGTGCATGCAACCCTAATTTGAGGATCTATGTTTTCACTATTAGACATACAAACATTGAACACAAAAACTAGAAACCCTAGGAGGCACATGTAATTTTCGAAATTAACATATAATTAGGGTTAGGATACATACATTGATTGTTATATTGTAATAACAATCAAATCCTTGAAGATCTTGAACTTTGGTAGCAAGCACCACAAGTGTCGCGCCTCTAATGGCTCACAAACAAACCTAGAAACCAAGGATTACTATGGAGAGAGAGAAGTAGAGTATAATTTCGGCCCTTAGCCTTTCTTGGAGTGCCTTGGACGAAATCCAACCCTATAGGGGTTTATATAGGTGATAAGGAAGGTTTAGGATAAGGCCGGTGTATCTTAGATAACCCTAATCCCTTAACTTCCTCCCTAAGGCTTCCAAGGCACCCTTAGAGCCCAAGGAAAACCTAGGACACTCTAGATTTCGTTCCCCACCTCTAAGGGAGGTTCTAGAATGCTCAATGCACAACTTTTGAACATTGTCACCTTTAGTCTCTGCAGTTTCAATTAATTCCTTTAATCCCAAAATTAATTCCAAATTAATTTCTGATTAAATATTAATTAAACAATATGATTTCTAATTAATATATTATATCCATAATACATTAATAAATCATTTATCTTGATTATTAATTTATTAACCAAGCAATAAATTAATAAATCATTCTTCTCTCTCGAACAATTATCCTATTCAATTGCCAGGTTTGAAGGCAACCCAAAAGGACATTGCTACTATCAATTCAAGTACATAACAAATATAGTTATGGGCTTAGACACCTAATCCAACAGTCTCCCACTTTGATAAGTCTAATAACTATAATTACAAGTATAACTTCAAAAATTGACAAGCAAATTTTAGCTACCAAAAGCCGCTGTCGAACTCTGACCTAGTCAATGACGTGTCCTTAGATAAGGGATCATATATTCCTCCATTCTCAAGATATCATATGAACTGAGACATGGATTTCAATCATTCTCTCTGTTCATGTGTTGTTTCCCGATTTCCGATTTATGACGACTGACTAATTGAACAGATCAAATCAGTCCAGGCTTGGCCAAGCGCTTTGGGTGTCATCACTAAATCATCGAGGGGCCCACAAATATCGCTTTTATCCCCTTAGGGTAAAAGGAACGGATAAACATCGACTCATATGCTTGCTCTATTTACTCATCAAATCACACACAACAATACGTGTTATAACACCAAGTTACTGGTGCGTTTACGTATTATCAATGTGCAACCGATTTGCAAACTGTAACTCATATCTCTTTGTTTCAAGAATATAAGATATTATCATCTCACAATTACTCGTGATAAAATCCATGAAGTGATTTAAGTGAGCGTGGGTTTAATCCAATACTCTAATCTTATTAAAGCACTCATGAACTCTGCAACAAACTTTTGCTATGTCTAAACACTTTAGACAATCTACAGACAGACTCATGACAGTCTTGCTTCATACCTACTCCCAATGTATGAGCGACTGTGGATGTTTGAATAACCTAGTTATTCTGGAAGTCAAAACATGCAAAGTGAAACACAATAATAATATTTAATCCTATATGACCCCAAAACTTTTGAGTATAAATAAAACACCTTTTATTTAGTCACCATATTGATTACTCATTATTCATTGTATACTGTTTCAGATAATCAACTTAACACTTGAATTATAACAACAGTTGTCCCATGCACCAAGCATCCACACTATGTTTACTTATGGTCCTTTATTTATGAAATAGATCAATTGGAAAACATTTCCAATGAAACTCATTTCACAATCCCCAAAACTCATCGTTAGTGTAAGAATATAAAATTCTTGCCACTATTAGAATATATTAGATTCCAACATTTTATGCAACGATCCTTTCGTAATG